TGCATAGGTGACCACAGACCCAAACCCTTGGATCTGAGAACAATGAAAAAGCATTCAGTTTTTTTACAAGAAGACTTTTAATAAAAAATAGAAGTAATTAGAAATAAAGAAATCCCCCCTGTAAAATCAGGATGGTAGATATCTTACAGGGTAATTAGATTCCAAAACATAGAGAACCCCTCTAGGCAAAACCTTAAGTTACAAAAAAGATACACAGACAGAAATAGTTATTCTATTCAGCACAATGCTTTTCTCAGCCATTTAAAGGAATCATAATCTAACACATACCTAGCTAGATTACTTACTAAAAGTTCTAAGACTCCATTCCTGTTCTGTCTCTGGCAAGAGCAGCATACAGACAGACACAGACACTTTGTTCCTCTCCCTCCTCCCAGCTTTTGAAAGTATCTTGTCTCCTCATTGGTCATTTTGGTCAGGTGCCAGCGAGGTTACCTTTAGCTTCTTAACCCTTTACAGGTGAGAGGAGCTTTCCCCTGGCCAGGAGGGATTTCAAAGGGGTTTACCCTTCCCTTTATATTTATGACAGCTACTGTTAGCTCCCCCTGTATTTCTGAGCAGGCTTTCTAATTCCCCTCCCTAATATGCAGGACAGACATTTGTATGGGAGAAAGGAAGAGATTACTGGCTGCATAATTCATCTCTGCCTTGAAGCCATGGCCTTTGCTTTCATAGAATCTCAGCATTGGAAGGGACCTCATCTAGTCCAACTCCCTGCTCAAAGCAGGACCAATCCCCAGTTTTTGCCCCAGATCCCTAAATGGCCCCCTCAAGGATTGAGCTCACAACCTGTGGTTTAGCAGGCTAATGCTCAAACCACTGAGCTATCCCTCCCCCCTTGCAGATCAGTACTTGTTTCACTAACAGTGGCTTGGGATGTTGCAGGGAGCTCTGATCCAAAGGCCTTCCCCACCCTTCTGAGGACCTCTTTTCATTCTGCTGTTCCTTTATTGTGTCATTCTGGAAGAAGAGGTCACCTGGAGCAGCTTTGTAGCTACTGCTTCTGTCTGACTCCTAGGCTATGTGCTGGCATAAAGGGGAGAGAGAACTCTCAGTCTAGTTCATAACCCGTATAAAAGCGTGTCACTCATTTGTAATCTCATGTTTACATAAGAACATGGGCAGTGGGACAGATCCTCTGCTGTTGTGAATTGGCCCAGTTCTGTCAAAGTCAGTGGAGTTACACAGATTTCTGCCAGCTGAGGCTCCGGCTCAGAAAGCGTATCTAGAACAAGCAAAATGTGACAGCTAGGACTCTTGGGTTCTCTTCCCAGTTTTATCCCTGACTCTGTGTGTGACTTGGACAAGTTACACTATTTCTTTCACAGTAGCAGCCGTGTTAGTCTGTATTCGCAAAAAGAAAAGGAGGACTTGTGGCACCTTAGAGACTAACAAATTTATTTGACCATAAGCTTTCGTGAGCTACAGCTCACTTCAAACTTGAAGTATTTTCCACTGAATGCATCTGATTAAGTGAGCTGTAGCTCACGAAAGCTTATGCGCAAATAAATTTGTTAGTCTCTAAGGTGCCACAAGTACTCCTTTTCTTTTTACTCTTTCTTTGTGTCTCAGCTTCCCCCTTTATACACTGAGGGTAACAATAATCATTGCCTACCTCACAGGGTGGTTAATTAATAAGTGTCAAGTGCTGTGAGAGCTTTGAAGGCGAGGTTATATATGTTGAGTGTGGTTATTCCCCATCATTTATTAGTTAGTAGGGTGTTGTGGGGGTTTTGGAACGGGGAGTCAAAGGCTGTTTGAACCAGCCTTGGGTGTGTGTCAAGAATTTGTATTTCGATAGCCCCAATCGAGGAGGTTCTCCCTTGCCCTAAGGCGTTGCACAAACACACAGTTAGAGACAGGCCCTGATCCAAAGAGCTCAAACGCAATAGAAAAGTCAGAATCACTCTCCTTGGTTTACGAGTCAGGAACTGAAGCACCGAGAGATTAAATTACTTGCCCAGGGTTTTTGTAGCAAAGCTGGGAATTGAACCCACATCTCCTGAGTTCTAGTCAAGGGCCTACATCTCTCTGTTTTTGCTTTTTTTGTTTACTTGATCCCTCAGTCTCCTCCCCCACAAAACACATGCTGCCATCTCTTGATCTCTTCCCCGCTCTTTCCTTGAGTCACTTTCTCAGGAGCTACCTCCATGATGGTGTTACCCTTTGGATGCAGCACGTCTGCATTTCTTTCCCTATTTACTCCGAACCCCGCAATGTTTACATCGTGGTCCCTAAGTTCTGAACTCTTTCCCAGTGTAGAGCAGGTATCCATGTAAATCCTGCTTTCCCCCATTTTGAAAATCTACTCAGAGGTCTCCAGAGAGCCTGCCTCTGCCTTTCTGCATAACTTGGGTCCCAGGCCATGCAGATTGGACTGATCCTCATCCCATGCAGAGCTCCTGTCAAGTCCAGGGCTTTTTAGATTCTTCAGGGCTAGCTTTCGCTCTGATCTCCCCTGTACCCTCACCAGGGCAAATTGTACCCTGCCTGTGGTATAGCAAAAGCGCATGCCGGATGTAAAACAGCTCCTTGAGGTGTCTGAGTAGCAGAGAGGCACTCCTGTTTCAGGTACTCCTCCAACAGTGTCTCACTGCATTTGCACACCTTCCTTCTCTGCTTCTGTGGGCTGCATTAGGAGGGACGGTCACAGCCATGTGCCCCTTTGTGTGCGTGGTGATGTGTGTCCGGCAAGACCTAGATCTGAGCTGTCAAAGGGTGCATAGTCTCTCCAGGGGAAGTTTGGGAAAGTATAACAGCTGCTCGGTTTGAGCCCTGGTGGCCTTTGATTTTAAACCCATTGTGCTGGGTGCTGTACAAACAGTGAACAAAAAGACAGACTTACTGGCAAATAGCTTCTAGTCAGCACTATCTTCTGTTTCCCTTGTTGCTGTAATTTGCTCCGGGTTAGACTTTTGTACTCCAGTCTTACCTCTTGTGTCTTAACCAATCACTATGTCTCCCCTTCTTGGGTAGCAGTCAGGCCTGTTTCCACTCCTGTTTGATTTGGCCTAAGAGCCTCTGGCAATAAAAATTAGAGTGTTAGTGGATAAAATAGAGCTCCGAGAGACAAAAATATGCCTCTATGCTGATTTACCTTTATTCATCAACAAACCCCTGCAGGCCATCCCCCACAGATTCTACAAACTATTGAATTGGTTGGGGAAATCGCAGGGTATCAATGGCTTGGCACATGTCAGAGGTGCTCAGTGTCTCTAGATGGGTGCATGTTGCCACCTCTTGGGTAACACTTTTTGCTGGCAGCAGGTGCAAGTCAGGTATTTGGGAGTCCTCTTTCCTAGGAACATAAAAGAAATAGGCAAAATGCATCTCAATCCTTTTATCACACAGCTGGTTTTGGATTTACACAGACAGCGGGCCCTCCCCCTATCGCTTCGGATTGAGTTAGTATAGTAAAGATGAATGTCCTCTTCAAACTTCTATTTGTTCTTAGCTCCCTGATGGTTCATATTTCCCCTGTGGTTTTTTTTTTTTTTCCAGAATGAACAGCATTTTAAAGGCTGTGGGGCATGTGGGCTTGTTGCCAGATTATCCTTTGACCAAATGAAGCTGCCTTTTCAATCCAAAGGCTGTGGTCTGCCCAATCTTGGCCTTTACTGTCTAGCCTCAATTTTGAGCCAACTGACACGTGGCTGACCCTCTGACTCCCAGGGCCCCAGCCTGGCTGTGCATGGAAGAGAAATTGTAGCCCCGCTCCCACTAGCACAGGGGTGGGCAAACTTTTTGGCCCAAGGGCCACATCAGGGTTGCAAAACTATATGGAGGGCTGGGTAGGGAAGGCTGTGCCTCCCCAAACAGCCTGGCCCCTGCCCTCTATCTGCCCCCTCCCACTTCCTGCTCTGGACTCCATAATGACTTTTCAGATCCAGAGCAGTCAGGTCTGACACATGTTAGTGCTGCAATGTGGCAGGCTCTACTTTATACCACATGCTCCAGGTTGCAGAGACCTTTCTTCTTTTTGCTATTTTTGTTTGTCATAATCACCCACACAAACATGGCAAGGGCCCACAACCAATCCTTCAGCTATTTCCCTCGCCCTGGAGCCAGTCCCTCGCCATCCTGCTCTCCCCGGGTCTCCGCTAGCGTGGCAGGAAAGTCGGCAAAAGGAGCAGCTAGAACAGGGATGGCCAACCTGAGCCTGAGAAGGAGCCAGGATTTACCAATGTACCTTGCCAAAGAGCCACAGTAATACGTCAGCAGCCCCCCCAACCCCCACCCCCCTCCGCTCCCAGCGCCTACCACCCCCCAGCAGTCCCACCAATCAGCTGTTTCGTGGCATGCAGGAGGCTCTGGGAGGGAGGGAAGGAGCGAGGGCACGGCCGGCTCAGGGGAGGGGGCAGGAAGGGGTGGCGTGGGGGCAGGGCCTGTGGCAGAGCCAGGGGTCGAGCAGTGAGCACCCCCTGGGCACATTGGGAAGCTGGCGCCTGTAGCTCCCGCCCCGGAGTCAGTGCCTAGAAAAGGAGCCGCATGCTAACGTCTGAAGAGCCACGTGGGGCTCCGGAGCCCCAGGCTGGCCACCCCTGCACTGGAATGACTCACTCCCCTCCCTTGCAATTCCGCCCGGCAGCCAGGTGGGGCGCTGCAGCGCTGCCGTAGCAGGGAAGGGACTGCCGCGGCTCAGACTGCGCCTGCATCACACCAGAACCATTCGGGGGCTGCAGGGGAGATGGCTGGAGGGGCTGGGGAGGCGTTGCCCCCTCTCTCCTCCTCATAGCAAAGGGGCTGATTCAGACCCTGTACAAGGAGCACATTTTCAGTTCCTAATCAGCCAGATTCTCCGATTCTAGGTACACGCTGTCTTCTAAACACCATCTCCCTCGAGCCAGGACCAGCCTCGATGGCCAGCGGTTGGACGCCATGTTGTCCCAGACTTGGGGTAGGGGCAGTGCCTCTTCCCTGCACCCGTAAAGTATCTGGCACGTCTCCAGGGCTCCGTAAATACCAGCTCTCCCTCTCCGCAGGTGAACCTGGTGCTGAACGAAGGGAAGCCCTTGGGCCTCATGATCCGAGGAGGAGCAGAATACGCGCTGGGCATTTACATCACCGGCGTGGATAAGGGCTCGGAAGCGGAGAGCACAGGCCTGAAGGTGAGATGCGAGCGCGTAAGTGTGCGGGGGGGAGGTAGGTTTGGGGCTCATCTGGGAGCTGAGAATGCATTTACAAAGCAGGAGCTCAAACTGATGCGGGTCTCGGAGCTCGTGCTGCCGACGCGGTAACCAGCCGCTGCCCTGGGCCTCTCGGAGTCCACCTCAGCAATCCTAACACTGACCCCTGCAGCATCCCGTTAGGCGCGCTGTACACAACGGACGCCGCCCTCCGGAGCAGGCGGCACCTGCCATTCGGCACTCGTGCACGCCACGTGGCGACCCGTGTGACCTTGTTTCCAATCCGAATGGAAGTCTCGCCACCAGGAGCTGGGCTGGGAGCGAGCCCAGCGTCGAAATCCTAGGCGGCAATCAAAGCTGGGCGTCTAGGAGGGAAAAGCAAGTCTCACTGTCCCGCCTCCCCATGCTGCAAGAGAAGAGACTTTTTCCTATTAAAGTGACTGGCTTTGATGCCCCCACCCAGTGCATCTTTCTCATTCCAGCCTGATCAAAGAAACCTGCCACTGCTAGCCGCTTGGAGCTGCAGTTTTGAACTTCTTCCTCTCGGTACTTCCTTGGGAGTCTGCATTAGCTGCAGTGATGCTGGGTTTCGGGGGCCTGGGTTCGCAGTAGCAGCATCCCACTGCCCCTGTGATGGGCTGGCAAATGACTCCCACTACCTCACTGCTAAACTTTCTGCAGTGGAGCGCTAATCCCACATCCTCACGGCACTGCCCTTCTGTCACTACTGCAGCGTGTGCTAAATTGCCTGAGAGTGGAGGCTGGACAGGAAGGATGGGCCAAGGGTTAGGGGGCTCATCCAGGATTGGGGTGATCCAGTTCCATTCCTGCTCTGCCACAGGCTTCCTGTGTGACCTAGGCACGACACTATGTCTGTGTTGGGTTCCTTCCGCTTCAGTGACATTTGCAAGAGTAATCTCCATTAACGATCGGCACCGTAGGTGGCAAATGCAGGGCTGAGCCGGAGTGCGTCTACGGGCAGCCGAAATTGATGCGGCTTACATCTGCTTCTGGCCACTTCCGCATCTCCGTATTCAATTCCTACTGTTAGGACCAACACCTGCTTCAGGGTTTTCTCAGCGATACGAGGACTCTCCGAGGATCTGCTACAGCATCTCCCATGGCATTCTCTCTGCAGCTGCGTTGCCCTCATGCCCAGGGGTTGGTGCACGGTCACTGTTGAGGTAGCATTAGGCAAGGTCTTTTTTCTGCTTGGTTCGAAGGACTCCCTGAGCCCAGTCATTAGCCAGGAGAGAGGTCTCGGCAGGGGAAATGCAGGAGCTCAGCTGATGGCTCAGGCTTTGGGGGCAGATGCGGTAGAAAATGATGTAATATCAGACAGTAAAGTTGTAAAGAGACCCACTGGACTCTGGAATAGTCCTTAGCTCCTCTGATTGGGAGCGTGTTTCAGAAGCAGGTTTATGGGCTGTAATTTCTGGCTGTGCTGCTCAAAATAACCCAGTTCTGTTTGGCTTTTCTGTAAATGGCCCATCTCCTCAGGGTCGCAACTTCATGCTCCTCATCTCTGGTTCAGAGCGATTCAGCAGCAACTGAGGGTAAGGTGTTGTGCGGGGTTCCCTTGGAAATTTATTGATAAGACTGTATCTGTTGCTTCAGTGTAGGGCTGATGGGTAACAAACTCCTTGTAATCTGCTGTTTGTGTTCCCTCAAGACATAGACAAAGGCCTGGATTATCAGAGATCAAGGTGTAATCCACCTTGATCCCACTGCCTCTGTGATGGGCTGGCAAATGACTCCCACTACCTCACTGCTAAACTTTCTGCAGTGGAGCGCTAATCCCACATCCTCACGGCACTGCCCTTCTGTCACTACTGCAGCGTGTGCTAAATTGCCTGAGAGTGGAGGCTGGACAGGAAGGATGGGCCAAGGGTTAGGGGGCTCATCCAGGATTGGGGTGATCCAGTTCCATTCCTGCTCTGCCACAGGCTTCCTGTGTGACCTTGGGCAAATCATTCAACTTGTTGTTGCCTCAGTTTCCAATCTGTACAATGGGGATGATAGCACTGCCCTGCCTCACAGGTTATTGTGCAGATAAACCCATTAAAGATTGAGGTACTCCAATACTGCAGTGTTGGGGGCCAGGTAGATCCCTTACAAAGACTGAGAGCTAATCTTCCTTCAGTCTTTCTACTCCCAGCTGGCCCTACAAACCTCCCATGCTGGACCATCTTCATTCTATTCAGTGTTTATACCACCCTTGTCACATGGCCTCTGGGATTGTGGGCTTCTCCCTTTGGAACCACTCTGCCCACATGCCAGAACTTTTTAAACAGCTGTTCTTTGAGTTAAAGGCTCACCCCTGGCCCTGGGGAGACATTGACGCTTCCCCTAGTTCATGTACACGAGGGGCAGTGGGAACAGTGCTACGTAGCGGATGAAATGGAAGGGCAGCACTGTTATCCCACTCACATTTACCATTGCACAGCAGCTGCATTTCTCCCCCTAAAGTAAAGAGAAAACAGACGTGCCACCCAGGGCTGCCTTCGGACATAACGCAAGTCACTGGGCTGAGATGAGATCAAACCTATGTGTCCCCAGCACCGACTTGTCAGGCTCCCCCTTGTAAACACTGCAAGATTAATGGCAGGAGAGGGAGGGGAACTGGTGCCCATTCCCTGAGATTATTTTCATAATCGATGCCTCCATGTTCCACCAAGCTCCCCCAACCGGCCCCCATCACCACCCAGAGAAAATTGCTACTTTCCCTAGCTCAGCCAGGAGGCCAGAGCAGCTAATGGAACATCTGGGCTAAGGGAAATACGTATAGGAAAAAATAATAGCAGCCATCTAAGAATACAGCCTTCTATTATCACCCTCTCAGATTATTTCCATTTATAATACACAGCATTCTCTCTCCACCTATCATTTCATCTCCCAGGCGGTGGAGGGAAGGAAATAATTGAAGACACTTCTATAAAAATGCACTGTCTAATCCTGTGTTATTTTCTTCCACGTTAGCCAGTGAGGATTTAAGAGGTGGCGGTGTTTTCTATGCAAGGCTTCATGCCGCGAGCATTGTCTTCACATTATATCTCTGCTTATTGATTCTTTATGCCTTGCTCCTCGCTGTGCTGTTTTCCTGTAGCTGATTTATGCGTGCCAGAAGCCGGACGCTTTGCTAAACACCAGGGTCTGCATCCTTCTATATAGTTCCTTCTCCCTAATTTCCGTACACTGCAAGCTGTAAATTTGGAAATCTTTGGTGGCGGGAGGAACAGAAAGGGGTCTCTGTGTCTTGTTATTATCCACGTAAAATGATACTATAGAATGTATATGCATACTCCCTAAGCTAAGATGGGCAGAGGCACAGAGAGACCTGATTCTAAGATGCGGAAAGAAACTGAAGTTAAATAAGTCCTTCCAAGTAACGGGTTATACCAGGCAAATAGAAAGACTTCTGTTCCCTAGGGGCATGATCCAACATCTGTTGGAGTTGATGGAAAGACTCCAGCTGACGTCAATTGGCGTTGGATAAGGTCCTAAATTACCGGCTATCTCTATGCATATTAAACTACGTTATCTGCCCTCAGCTATATTTAATATGGTGAATGATAATTTTATAAGTGAATCATTAACTCCAGTCCTATTAAGTGTTCACCCAAGGAGCCAACAAATATCAGCCATCTAAAGGATGGCCTTATGGTTAAGGTACTAGACTGGGATTCAGGAGATGTGGGTTTCATTCCCAGCTTTTCCACAGGTTCCCAGTGTGACCTGGGATAAGTCACTTACAAACAAACAGTATTTGGTGAAAAGCAGCCAATGGAGACAATAAACAAATGAGGAGAGCATAAATAGGGGTTTAAATGTGTAAATTTCGGCTCCCACGGAGCTGAACATTGTCTGAGCTGCCAAGGAGCCAGTGGGCATTGTACTTTCTTAGTCCTGAAAGCATCATCCTTAGCCTCTCTGTGCTTCAGGTACCCCCAAAGCCCAATGGAAATACTACTTACTCACAGGGGCAAGATTTGTTAAAGGCTTCCTGATCCTTACACGGACAATGCAAAACATTCGGTGAAAGCCCACTGCCAGCTAATTAAAATCCTACTGCAATTCAGAAGTACTAGCCTCAGAACAGGTTCCAGGTGTGATTGGTCAGCCGCTGCATACAGAGTCTCATCAGAGCTCAGTGCAGTGAATGGAAAGACTCTCGCTGGTTTTAATGGGCACTGGACCAGCTCCATAGAGAGGGGCTCTGACTTCCCTGCTCTGCAATTAGATGCCTTTGCATGTGCCCGACGACAAGTGCATTGGTCTCATTTGCTATCCACCATCACTCTAGGTCTGTTCAATATTACTGCCTCCCACTGATTGCATCTGGTGTTTCCGGTTATATGCCCTTATATATTAGATCACATTCGTCCAAATTGATTCTTTTTTTTTTTCTTTTCTGACCATATTTTGAATCTCTCTAGATCTTTGTATTAGTTCTCTATCCTGGCTGCGGTTTGCAACTCCTTCTAGTTTAATATTAATGTCATTTCACCTTCATCTTCTGGTATATTAATGATGTTAAATGAGGCCAGTCCTAACACTGACTCCTGTAGCATCCCATTAGCCACCTTGCTCCCAGATCAATTAAATGCTAGTTAGCATTACCTTTCCGTTTCCAGGCTTTTCGCTCGCGTTCAGTCCATGTGGCTGCCTTCCTCCCCAAGCCAGTTTGAATTAATTTTTCAAGGTGCAGTGTCAAATTCTTTACCGAAATCCATCTGTATTCCAGCCACTGCACCTCCCTTCATCTAGTCATCTTGCAATTCTCTCCAAACAAGCCACCAAGATTGTCCAGCAAGATTTGCTCTTTATGAACTCATCCTGCTTCTTGCTGCTGGTTCCATTGCCCTCTATGGGTGGTGCTCAGCACCAATATTTTGGGGCAGATTTTCAAAAGTGCTCAGCTCCCAGTAGTTCCCGGTGTTGACACCCAATGTGATGAGCCCTTTGAAAATCTGTCCCACAAT